CGTTTATTTATTTTTGGGACAGAGAGAGACAGAGCATGTACGGGCGAGGGGCAGAGAGAGAGGGAGACACAGAATCGGAAACAGGCTCCAGGCTCTGAGCCATCAGCCCAGAGCCCGATGCGGGGCTCGAACTCACGGACCGCGAGATCGTGACCTGGCTGAAGTCGGACGCCCAACCGACTGCGCCACCCAGGCGCCCCGAGACATTGCTTTTCAGTGTATTAAGGTATACCTACCCATTATAGATTGCTGCCTCGGTAATGAATACATATATAGATATACTTATTCTATTTAAAGCTACTGTTGCTCTCCACAGATGAAGGAAATTAGGCTGGTTGGCTTGACTTTTCTACCTTAGACACAAGACTGGCCAAAAAAGTGCTAAGCCCTTATTTTCCCAAAGTAGGTTCCACACATCTGCTACCTCACCACTTCCTCAATGAATTCTTTTTTATAGTCGCCCCGACCTACCCTGCATTCGTTCTGCATTCCCAGGCCTTTGTTGTATAATTCATACCTTTGTGGTGCCAGGTCCTGGGGGTAAAGATTTCCTTATTTGCCTAAGACATTTTTGGTTTATTGTGCAATACCGTCTTCCCTTTGGGTGTTGCATAAATATTAACTAAAAATCCACATCTGGACTTGGTCTTCATTTCTATTTGTCCTAATATAACTTCTCTTTGAACAATTCATTTGGAGAGTGTGCCAAGGGTGAAATGTGGCACATAAATTCTCCTGCTGCACAGAATGCCTTTTAAAGTGCCCACAGATTTGGTTATTTATGAACAGAAGATTTGCACCTCTTCCTTGCTCTCTCAATTCTAAAATTGTACCAGGCCAAAGTAATTACAATCTCCCATATGTTTTGTGGAAAAGGTATCCAAGAATCTCCTGCTAAAATCTTAACAGATTGACTAGGAAGCAGAAAAACACTAGCCCAGCAGGTGAAACTGCCTGTTTAGGGAGGTCAGAACAGAGCTCTCTGCTGGGGGACTCATAAGCTCTGGGCTTTACTCAGGAAATAACCCTGCAGGAGAAAAACAGCAGAGCGTGGATGAAATGTGGGTCAGGGAGCTGAAAGAGGCACACTAGCTGCTTGGTTAACTAATGACAGTAAATGCATTGGCTACACATGTTACATTTAGATGTTCCCAGCACACCATAAAATCTTGCCCTGCAGACACTGCAATATGTAACATCGCTTTGTCCCAAAACTTGTGATCCATTAGGAA